CTACATACATATCAAAATGAAAAAAAAAAACCTTATATAGATAAGATTAAGTCTTAGAAACTGAAGTAACAAATGGATTAACTCTTTGAAAGAAGATGTAAAAATTCGCCTATTAGATTTTGAAGTGAGGGTGGATAAAACATATAGAACATGTAAATGTATTTTATATAGACCATGTAAAAATACGGAAGGTTGAGATTTTTGTGTTTCTTTTTTCCCTTTCAGATATTCACCTCCTCCTTTTAGTTAATGTGCTCATATAAATACAGCAGGATTTTTTTTAAATAACTCTTTACTGAGTATGTCAACAAGATAATATATAGTGTATAGTGAGGTTTTGAAGTTAACAATGCGTGCAACATGGCAGATTGCAGAAAACAGATAATGCAGACTTCCAACCAGCTATTTTTCCATATTTAAGATAGAAAATATACCAACACAGAACAGAATCAAATGTGCATGTCTCAGTTAAAACGAATTTTATGAAAGATCATCTTCATATAGTTGGGATCAAGTGATTATAACAATTTGTTTAGTAGATTATCTGTTTCTTAGAGGATCAGGATTCAGCTCTCATGAGGCACATTTCCACAGAGCCGCAGTATAACAAAAGCTTGCCAAACCTCTTTCGCACTAGTTTTCCAGATGGATTACTAGCCAGTGTCCTTTGAAAAGAAAAACATTCCATGCTGTACAGAAGTTTAATGCCAAATGGTTCAAAATTGCCTGTAGTATCATCTGGGATGCAAAATGCCCTGTAGAGTTCAGGGAAAAAGTGACCATCAGTTTCCTAGGATTTTCTCTGTGTTTAGAAGAGAGCATCAGACAATTTGATGAGGCTTAGAGCCAGTAACTTTTGATTTTGGCACTTATTTCTGTTTTGTTTTTCCATCAACTGGAAAGATGAGTAAAACCATTACTATGTTCTAAAGAAAAGCTTTAATATCTCCTTATTGGAATTGGAGGTGAAGGAATACTATAAATGAAAAATCCAATGGGAATTAACCACTTCACTGTCAAAAGCTGAGACAGAAATTTCACTGCAATGTCATTAATAAAGTGTCTCATGCAGACCTCTGAAAATTATACCAAAAATAAGATATGCATAAAGTTCTTTTGCTTGCTGACTAAAATACTTTTCCCAGAGAAATATTTTATTTTCTCATGAAAAGACAAAATGATTGAGAAAAAAAATAGTTGAGCTATTCTAGTATCAAACAGTATAAACTATTTCATTTTTCTCTTTCTTTTATATTACATTCATTTATTTTTCTTATAGACCACCAGGGAAAATGTCTAATATATTTTCAGTCCAAAAAACCCAATCCCTAAACAGCCTGATAAAGAAATTCAGTGAAACCTTTTAATAAAAAGTTCCGGCATCCATCAGGTGTTTGTTTCTGCTAATAGTCAAAGAACTCTTGTTACAGACATAGAACAGACATGTGAAAATGGAGACTTATTTGTAAATAGGTCTTCAAATGGAACCAAAGCATTGGGCATGACTTTGTTGTGAAACTAGTCTCACACATTTTCATTTAAACTCTCTCACCAACTCTTCCATAAATTTATGTCAGCCATTAGTGGTATGCAATGAAAGATGGGTCACATATTGCCTGTGAGCCACTAATTTGCCCACAGGTCCAACAAACCTGTCCAAATTAGGACCCGCAGGTGAACATTTTGGAATTTCTGATGTGTTGTATATGCATACATTTCAGACTTCTGCTTCACAGTTCCCTTTAGTTAGTATCTGTGTTTGCACTAAGTAAAGATGATCCTATTCTTATGAAGCTCCAGGAAAAAGCTACTGATATAACTTTAATTTTACTTCATCAAAAGATTGTTATCCAAAATAGTTTTTATGGACTTTGTCCAGACTTCTTTCAAATATCTTTCTTAGTGCAAATTGTCTATTATCTACGTATTTAAATATGTCCTGAAATGAAGCCTCAGCTGTCTATGCAACTTAGACACTTTATTTGAAACTTTCCAAACACTGTTGTAGCTTGAAGACCATGAATTGTTTTGCATTTGGTTAGCAATTAGAATCGGAAGAAACATTCTTTCAATGTAAAATATGAGTTTTTGAGTTTTTCCTTGAATACAACTGTGAGTTTGTTTAGACAGTGCTCCTAGTTGTCTCCATGAATTTTGGTATAAATGGTTTAGCAGGTTACTTTTTTTTTCAAAAGTGTATTTATAGAAAATGAGCTTTGTCAGTATCCTGTACAAATAAAAGAAGCATAAATTATGCTATCTTAAAAATTGCTTTGATTTTGATATAGGTAACCCAATAATGCTCCACCTATGTGTATATACATTTAACAATCCAAGATCAAACCAAATACTTTGAGAATGCCTCCTATTTTCACCTTAATCGGTCACTAGGAACATTTGTTGACATCAGTTTGAGCTTGTGGATCATTCACGTCCTGTACAGCTGAACCTCCTGCATAAGTCATTTCATATAAATAGGGCAACTAGCTCATGTTGAAACTAGGGTATCCTAGAACAGATGATATTCATTGAAGAGAAGAAGAATTCCTCTTGCATCAGTCATTGAAGTATGAAATGCTAGTATGCATGTACATTCAAAGGATACCTTTTGAAATCAGCTGTGTAGCTAGTTAGTTCAGTGAAATTAAATACCACCGCCACACCCCATGGAAATCACTGGATCTACTTAATTTCAAACAAACTCTTATGCATACAGCATGCAATGGAAGAGTGCAGAGGCACAACTATTTGCTGCTTGTCTTATGGGTTTTGGAAGCTAAAATATTATCAAGCAAACAAAACAAAAGCATCAACTTTCTTATCATACTCTTGGTCACAGAGAAAACACTTTGCATAGACGTGTCTACCTAGAATTACACCATGTGAAATCATATGACAGCCTTTATTCAGCAAAATTTCAGTGACTTTACCCATACAGTAGCCACACAGGTTGCCTAAAATACCTGTTATAGCTGGAGAAAATAGCAAATATACAGAATATAGAGTGGAATTTCAAATTGTGATTATAAAAGGTGCTGGAGAGGATGCAGTTTGTTACATAATGATTGTACTTTGCCATCTATCACCAAACAATTGGATTCATTTTCTCATTGCAGAAAATGAGTGTTGTCATGCGATTTCAGAACTGCACACTCACAGACTGCTGGGATTCAAGAATGGATAGAGTGAAATAAGCAAAGGAAAGGATTAAAACCCTCTCTCCCAACATAAGAAGCCTCATAAAAAGTGAAAAATCTAATCATTCCGTAGTGACAATTCTTCAGCTTTTACTTTCAGTCTACTTCTAATGACGTTTTTCCTTGTCCCTAGCTATTCATTTGCACTTTAAGATGTTCAGTCCAAAAAGTACCCTGAGAGCTGCTCCCATTGCCTCCTTATGCTGTGTTTCACATCTGAATATTAAAGGAGTGAAAAAAAAAAAAAACGAAAAAAAAAAAAAAAAAAAAAGAATTAAATCTGGTTTGGCAGGAAATCCAGATCTTTTGGCAGCCACAAAGTCAATGGAGTTGCTGGAACTTTATATAATTTTGAGAGTAGCACCATGGATTTAATATAAGCATGATGTTTTGCATAGTGCATGTAAATCTCAAGAACTCAGAGTGATTCCAGCTGAAGAATTTGAGAAAATAAAAGAGCAAATTCTAAGTCCACCTACTGTAGATCGTTGCGGAAAACTTCCAAAAAGCCTAAGTTAAAAGAAGGGTAATTTGGAGGGACAGCAGGTACTTGTGTTCTCAAAATTCCTCAGCTAATCAACTGCTTAATTCATGTCCATCTTCATACTCCATGGAGGGGAAAAAAAAAAGAAAAAAGAAAAGAAAAAAAACAGAATTCATATACAATTCTCCCTGCTGAATATATTTCAGTTTATAATAAGCCTGGAAGCCTTTCCATTATTTTTTTTTTAAAAAAAAAACATTTTCTTCTTTGTTTTCTCTATTTGTTTCTTTTTCTTACTTCTTTGTGCAGAATATAACTCAGGACTCTAAATCAAATGGGGCTTGAACCATGAAAGTAAATTGCAACCTTTCCATTGACATTGTATTTAGTAACATTTTTCAGTAATTTGCACTTTCAGATTACAAGTTCTAAAAGGATTCCACAGAGCTGAGAATTTCCCTTGTTCAGGCTTCACTTGAACCTGCTGTGTCAACAAATGCTGCTCTATTAAAGAGAGGTGCTACCTAATGACAGCTATCTGTTACATACTGATAACCTTCATCTCCCACTGAGAAGGGTCAAAGAATGCCTAAAGCTTCTTAATCATAATGAAAAGCAGAAATAGATTCTAACATAAAAGTATATACTTTGGGGGGTCATTTTCAGAGTAGCTTTAGCAAATAGGAATCAAGGTCACTTTGCGTTTGACACTGAGTTCTGCCTACCTTTCCTATTCCAAGTATATTGGAGAAAACATATTCAAACAAAAAGCAGTCTTTCTAGTAGCACTCAGAACTCCAGCTTTTACTTGGAGGTAGGAAGTAGAGAACTAGTAAGGGGGAGCAGAATTATTTCAAGATGTCCAAAGCTCAACAGCAACTTCTGTGTTTAAGTCAAAAGAGTTGTACCCACTTTATCTGAATTATCTTTATCTATTCCTAGTGATCCTGTTTTAATATGCACTTATTTTCCTGTACTACAGGACACCTAGGAACTCAGATCCCTCAGACAGCTTTGACAGCAAAGTGGTTAATGTTTGAAGAATGAGTCATTCTTTCCTTTGCCATGACATTGGGTTCTTATCGTACAACCCTGTACAGTACTTAGCAATATTTTTTAAAGATTTAAAAAGCAAAGAGTTACAAAACCATTTGCATTTAACTTGTAATAGAAAAGATAGCACTTTTTTTTTTAAATCCCATTATATAGTACACCGTATAAATTACAGAGTATTCAAATGCATAAATGCATCTGTGTAACATTTATCAAATGTAATTTTTTCATTGTTATTGGAGGGTTTACTTTTTCCAGAGTTTTCGCTCTTTGTCCTAGGTACCCCCATCTCATCTCACTATCACGTATGACAGTGCTCCAGATCTGAGACATTGCTGTTGCAGTATCGCATGTTGTTGGGAATGTGGCAGTCTGTGTAGTTAATGCCCCCGTTTGGGGTATAAATGGGCTGCAGTCTGAAATCTCCTTTAAGGAGCTGATCATTATTTAAGGAGACAATCTGGAAGCTGGTTTCCGTCATCTCCAGGATGGAGTTGTCCTTCTTGGTCCCTGCCTCGCAGTAGTCATCTTTCCGTCGGCCTCTGTTATATTTCCACTTCTGAGAGGTGTAACGCCCCTTTTTGTGCATGTGCCAGCAAAAAATGCTGAGCAGGACCACGAGGACAAATATCACTGCACCCCCAATCAACCCTGCCAGCAGAAATGGGGAGCCCAGGTTCTGAGAAGTCGTCTGCTCATGGCTGGAGGGGATGTTGCTGCCATTGTTTAAGTAGGAAGCCTTGGTTGTGGCTTCTGAACAGACAGTGTCTTCTCCCGTTCGGTAATTGTTATAAGCATCCAGTGGAACCAAACAAATCCGATATGTGGATTTGGGCTCCAGATTTACCAAGCTTAAGTGTTGCTTCTCACCACTAACTATTCGTTCCTGAACAATTCCTCCTACCAGACTATGGCCCATTTTTACCCACGTGAGTTTATACGCCATCACAGTAAAGAGAGACAACCAGTTAACTTGGATGCAAGTGTCATTCACAAAATGGATGAAGAGTTGAATTCGATCAGATATGGGAGGTGTCACCTTTTCTCTGTCCTCTCTGTCAGGCACAGTGGGGAGTGTGGCTATGGTGGGAGTTAGAGGATTATATTTGCTACTTGGGGGAGGAACTGATGAGGTGGGAAGCAATGTAGTTGGCATGGTTGTAGCTGAGGCTGGTGTGATGACAAGTGGCAGACCAGGGGTGGTAGTGGGGCATGACAACATATTCATACTGAGCTCCCTGACTGCCATACCTCGGACCTGTTCTGGTCCCTGGCACATAAAACCCCTTACATTGATGGAAGCAGGAATAAATTTGAGCCATTCAGTGACCCATTTAATGCTGCAGTCACACAACCAGGGATTATTCCTCACAGTGAGTTGCCTCAGGTTGTAGAGATTATCAAACACCCCTTTTACCAACATTCGAAGCTGATTGTTGGAAATATCAAGGCGCTCCAGCTTGTGCAGGTTTGAAAAGGCTGTAAGTGGTATATGGGTTATCTGGTTGTCCTGCAAGTAGAGTCGAAGTAGATGTGTACCTGGAAGATCAGGAGGAGGGTAGGTTAGGGAATTCCGTACTATTGAGAATTCCTTGAGCTTGGAGAGGTGGCTGAAAGTGCCTTCAGCTATGCCTTTATTAGTAAGGAGATTGCCATCCACAATCAGGCGCTCCAAACTGGTAAGATTCTGGAAGGCCAGGTCTGAAATGACAGCAATTCGGTTTTCATCTACTCGAAGTTCTTGTAAGTCCACTGGAAGGCCTACTGGCACGCTGCTTAGGTGATTCTTGGACAGGAACAGAAGCTTGAGGCTGATAGCTTCCCGAAACGCACCATCCTCAACACCAACAGTAGAGATGGAGTTGTCATCCAGGTGCAGCTCTTCCAGCTTCAAGAGCTGAGCTAGGGCAGCCCGAGAAATGGTCTGAATGTTGTTTTCCTGCAGGTGAAGAACCCTGACATTCTTGGGCAGGTTCATGGGGAATTCATCCAATTGGTTGCCATATAGGTAGACCGTGTGCACTGACTGGACATTGTGCAGCTCTGCAGGAAATCCAGCATTATTAATTTGGTTATTATGGAGGTAGAGGACGGTTACACCCTCTGGTATCCCAAGAGGCACTGAGGTCAAGCTTCGCTCATTACAGTAGACAAAGTTTCGGTCACAGCGGCACACTTTTGGACAGGCCGAAGTTTGAGAGACCTGTATGTACAGCCCCAGGGAAAAGACAAGCCATGATTTCACGAGAACAGACCAATCTGTGGGCCACATTCTAGTCCACGAGCCCATTTCTAATTTAAAGTAATAAAGTACCAAAGTATTAAAGAATTGATAACAATAATAAAGCACAGGTAGCAAAATCTCAGGTCATTAGAATTGGCTTCAGTTTATGTCCAGTGTTCAGGCAAGAGAAAAAGTCCTGGAGGCTAAGTATAAAATAATCCTTGCCTACCTCCTACTTCTTATGAAAAAGCCACAGTCTTGTTAGCCAGGGTTACAAACTTTGTTGCCTTCCTCCATGTGTGTTGAAAGAACCAACAGCTGTCTCTTTGCAGGTGAGCAACAGGCAATTTAATGCTACCAAAAGACGTCTGTATGTGAATTGCTTGGTGGGACGGTATTTTCTTTCACAGATTTACACTGGCGTTACAGTCAGCTTCCTTCAGTCAGCAAAGTCCTCATATCAGTTATCTGCTGGATGCAGCCAGCCTGTTAAGGAAAAGAAAAAGAAAAATCTGAATAAAATGAATTTTTTAATAAGGAAGATCCAGCTCATTGAACGACTATTGTAAGGCTGTACTCTTTATGGCTTTCTGGAAAAAAAAAAAAAAAAAGTATTCATGTTAGATATTGGCTTACTATTACTATTAAGCAGTCTTGAAATAGATTGATTCCAAATCACTGCCATGATTGAAGGACTTCTTTTACTGACATCACTGCAGGCTAGATCAATCACTCCAGTCTTTATTTCAATCACAGTCTTTTTCAAATTCTAAAACTTAAACATTTTGCTAATTTTTTTTTTCAGAACCACTCACTTCAATGAAAGCTATGTCACTGATGCCTAGCAGAATACATCTGGGATGTTACTACATATATAATCATACTCTTCTTCTTTTTTATTTTTTTTTCTTTTCTTTTTTCATTTTCTACCATACTGGAATGTTCTGCTTCAGTTCTGGGTACCATTATGTATCTTCTCCTCCAACTTAATGTATACTGCCAAATTATTGCATCTCACTACACTGAATTAGCAGCTTATGAAGGGAGTCTTTTAAGTAAGTATGGTAACCTATGAGTACAAGAAATCCTGCTGTAAGGCAACATATTTGCTAAAACTAATCATCTTGATACTGTTAATTATGTGAACTGTGCTGTCAACAGACTTCAAAAGTATCAGTATACTAAATGAAACTGACTTACATCTGCTAGAGTATTGCTTCAGTATATCGGGACAGAATTAGGCAAAACTACAGCAGTTTTGCTGGAGAGCATTTTCTTTGCAACCATAAAGGTTAGATATTTCTTTCAATTCTCCTACAGAGATGTCTATGAATAGCTTTTTATCATTTTTTTTAGATCTAGTATAGATAAGTTTTTAGTTGTGCATTTTCTGCTTTAGAGTGTACTTTTTAACTTTCACCTTCCCTGATACTATTATTCAGATTTATAACCAAGCAATTCAGCTTTCTAAAGCATGTAATGAAAAATATTGCAATGTATGATGTTGTCATGCCTTGTTAAGTGTTGTTTCAAACGACTGTAAAAAAAAGTTGCTGCAGTTTATGTACTTTAGCCTAAACTGAAGCTTATAAACCTTTCAAAGTCCTAAGAATCTGTAGAGCTCAGTGCCTTTACTGCAGTTACATAAGCATGGTATTTTTCCATTTTGTTAGCCAGAATCAAAACTCACTGTTTGGGGCTTCAGGAAAATTGTTTTCAGTGAACAGAAGTCACCTTAAAAAAATCTATTTTCCTTTATTTAAGCCATGTAAGTTCTGTCCATCCTTTCCAGAAGTGCAAGAAATGTAATTAAAGAGTACATGTCATCTGAAAGCCTTTTATGCCACAGCTGTGCAGTTTCTATGTCCCAAATGTTGCTTATGTGCAAGAAATGTAACTCAGTAGTACACAGCATCTGAAAACTCATTCTTCTGCTGCAGCTGTGCAATTTATATTATGCCCTAAATGCTGCTTCTGGGAACCCAATGGATCAAGAGTATAGAATCTCTCTTTAGGAGTCAAACTCTTAAAATCTTTCAGTAGGAATCTTTGCCCTTGAAGATTACTGTATTTATTCAGAAGCCTCACCAGGCATCAGCCCCTGATGGACCAGGGGCTGGAACAGTTGGTGATAAAAAGTGAAACACAGAAAAGTCCTGTAATCTACTATTATGAACTCAAAATGGCAAATGCGCCATATGCCTGCATTGTATGCTGTCCTCCTCCAAAAATAGCAAGATTGGCTGCTCTGCTGCTCAAGGCTCAAGGCTTTCTCTCTCACAGGCGTATTTCAGTCAAGAGTAGTTTTGCTTCAATTATGTGAGATGACGTGATATTGTAGAGAAACTCTAACAGGATTACATCCTTACAAAAGCCTAAATGTGACAGTTTATCCGCCTTTAATATGGCCTGCCTCCCATCTAGATCATATTGCGCTGATCTGTTATGACATTGTCTTTTAAAATAAGAAAGGACATGCAGAGCCTCTTCTGAGATACTTGGGACCATACAGAACATTAGTGGTTCTCCCAGCCCTTTGCTGTAACTGAAGAGAAACAGTCTGTACCTCCTAATAGGGCAAAAATCCTGCACTGACTTCTGTTTTGATTATAGTTCCAGTTGCTATTTGGGTTTAGTTTGACTACTGAGTGTGACTGAAAGTCCTGTTGAAGAGGTGTAGCCACAGCTTTGGATTCTCTCATATTCTCCCAAGGAGGCAATGTCACATTAAAAGGGACTTAAAGAGGCACATTCACTTGGCCTTTGGCCAGAATACATCTCACCTATGTAATCCTGGCATCTGAATAAACCATTTCATTCCTATCTAGTAAAATAAGTGAAAACACACTGTTCTTTAGCATCAGCACTCCTTCAGCTAGGCAGTAATTAAGTGCAAAATCACTTTGGGAGTTAGCATTCTGAAGTTTGTCTCTTTATTTTTTATGGTTACATGCGTCTTGTCCTTAGAAAACTTTTTAAACTTTCCAATGGCATATTTTCTCCCTTTTTGTTTAGGAGAAAATCAGTCCTTTTATTAATGCCAGTATCCTAAACTACAGCTAGCAATGCTTAATAAACCAAGACTCTAAAACTCATAGTACAGAAAATATGCATTGTCATTCAGGTAACTGCTTTAGATTGTATTAGGAAAAGCACAAGGACAAATCTAATAAGATATTTATCACTTCAGTGTTGACTGTGGTGTGACAGAGGGAAGGAATAGGGAAGCCATGATAGAAATAAATGTGCTTCAATAAATTATTTGGGAAAGGCTTTACCACAGCATTCTTTTATAAATGCTTAATAATAATTCATAGCATTGGTAATAGTTACAGCAGTAGTATTTCTCAGCAAACTCAGGGACCCTAATGCAGTTCTGTCCCTGTGCTAGAAATCTCTACCCCAAAGACTTAAGATTAGAAGTTCAGAGAGTCAAGCAGCTGGCTCGATTTTAAAAAGTAACACTGTGAGAAAAACAAGCAAACAAATAAAAAAACAGGCAAATTCCAGAAGACTTGAAAATTGAAACAGTTTATCCTCAGCCAATTGACAAGACCGAGGGCACACACAGTGATTATACTTTCTCCCCATCCCTGCTGGCTTCCTAAAGGAAAATTCCCCGTTTCCTTATCCTGTACATTTGATTTATATTATTTTTCGCTATATCCTCCTTGGAGAACAAGTCATGCCTTCCAAGTGTCTGGCATGTTTCCTGCATTACTGTAACTAGAATACTAAATCCTAGCAAGATTTAGCGAATGATACTATAAGGATGAGAGAAACAACTGAAATAGATGGCAACATATGCATATTTTACAGGTGGGCATGTCTGAAATCTTGGCTTAGTGGTCTGAGTTCCTGAAATCAGTGGAAATTCTCCCATTCACACCTTTGGAGGTCTTTCTGATCAATATTTTTATCTCACTACTTTTCTTCAAACTTTCCTTCTTTAAATTCCCTTTTGGCTTGACTATTACTAGCTGGCGAGGAACAACCAAGCACAAAAGCCCTGCATAAAGTTTTCTAATTTATTATTGTTTAACATTGACACAACAATCTCTTTCTTTTTTTTTTTTTATTTAGAGTATTTATACTGGAACATTGGGTAGCAAGGACAGCAAAGTCTCCCTTGCACTATTGAGAGTTATACATACAACTTCAAGATTCTATCAGCAAGCTATGCATAACCATGAAACAATTCACTTTCAATAAACAAGCATATTCCTGAAAATGTTACTCATTCACAAATTTTTGGTACTTTATATATGTCTTTCCTAACAACTCCCTGACCAACGTTGCCTCACTGTCTGTGTCTAGGTTGCTTTAAGATGAAGCTCTGAAACTTCTCACTATCCTTCATACTGCAGACCTCCAAACATGCAATCCCAAGTGTGGAAATCAAGGTCCATGAGGGTACTTAAGAACCCAGCAACGTTTAATTGAAAAAATGCAGAAATAGGAATAAAGAAGAAAAACAAAGTATAGAGCATATCTTGCCTATGACTACCTACTGGCTACCCAGTGTTATAGATGCAGGAGTTATTTTGCTGGGCTTCTGAGTCAGGTTGTCTGGTTTCATTACTCAGACGTATTTTACGTTAAGGCTGGTAATTCTTTAAGGTGAAAATAACAATACTTGACTATTCACTCACAATAAATCCTTAAAAAAACTGAGAACAGGACCTAGGATATTTCTAAGGTATTCCAACCACTAAGCACTGAACTTGAGCATCATGCAACAAAAATGTAAAGACAAGCAGAAACAAACACAGTCATATGTGATATTTTCACTGATATCAGTCAATGAATCCCATTTAGCACAAACATTAATTTACTTGGCTTTACTGCAGGCCAAGGTCATAATCAAGTCATAATATTATTCCATGTCATTAGCATATACAGTACATGCAACACTACTATGTATGCAATCAAATGACAACCAGAAAACAAATCCAATTCCATTTCTTTGGAGTCTAGCACGGACAGTGCTTGAGAAAAAAGTCTTTGTACTTCTATCAGGTGATAACAAAAATAATTATGGAATAATACATGATATATCCCTCTTTTTATGTAAATAGAGTTTGCATCTACACATGAATGAACATTATACTTTTTTTGTACTGATTAAGTGCACAAGGTGATGGCTTACTGTATATCTCTCTCTGTGAGCTATTTGGTTTCGAACTTAGCACTGAAAATTCTTAATGTGATGCTATAATCTTTGCATCAAAGACACAGAGAAAATGGCACTGTTTCTCTAGGAGCCAAAGTGCTTTTCAAGAAGCTTTGTTGCATGCTTAATGCTGCAGCTGCTTAGTGCTTGTGGCTGTGTGTTATGTAAGAAGAGGAAAGGAGGACGAGGAGAGACTAATGATAGGAGAAGTCCTATCTGTGGTCTCCTCCTAAAGTGAACATTTTTGTTAGGATCAGAGGAGTAGCTAGTACTAAAAGGAAGCTTAAAAATTAGTCTCTATAGGGTTACAGAT